CTCTGCATGCCATGACAAAGATACCAGCCGAAGTGTTAAAAGAAAACAAAGATTTTTGTTAGCTCAGATTCAGAATAGAGTAAGAGTCTGCCTGATGTTTTCTATTACTGAGAATTAAAAACAAACAAACAAACAAACAAACACAAACAAACAAAAAAAACACTTCATTTTTAAACACACAGGCACTCACTATTAAACAGAAAGGAAATAGTAGAAGATGTTTAGAACCTAAATTGAGAAATTACATTATCATGATTGTTATGATCTTAACAATGACTTAAGTATCTTTAATTAAATCACAGTCATGCCAGTCATGCTCAGAGCAATTCTTGGAAAGAAGCAGCACTTCTGAAAATTATACATTTGAAAAATAGTGACTAGCATATAAGTACTTAAGCCAAGAACTGCTTGGGCAGGCATTGCTTTAAGAGTGTGCATAGGCCCACACTGCCCAGAGCAAGCATCCTTGAAGCTGTTGTCAAGACCAAATCTGTGGTTATCCAGGTTGGGCTTGACCATGCCCTTGAGCCTCACATGGGCTTTGTTCCCTACAAAGCACCCTGATGGACACAGCTTGTCCACAAGTAGTATGCAGGATGCTTGTGCTGTAGCTTCCAGGCAGCAAATGGAGTTGAACCTCTCTGTCCTCTATTTGGAAGAATTATGGAAATGGTTACTTCAGAAGACTTAGTGTGTTCAAAAACTGTAGAAATCAGAACAGTTCTGTGCTTAATATTATTTACTTACATATCTTTGCCACCTAAGTGGTATTCTTTAAAGCCCCCGCCCGAAATGGCTGTCTTAAATGAAAAAAACAAACAAACAAAAAAAACTTCTCTTATTCTGAAACAACCATATGAAAGAAGGATATTAGGATATCCTACTATGAAAATATTTTGGATGGTCACAAGTTCTATTTTTCTGTGTTTACTGGTATTAAAACTAACACTATTTTCAACTGAGTACTTATTTATCTTTTATCTATTAATATATTTATCTAGTAGGCAGATCTCCTGATTGTACCGATTTATCTCTTAGTATTTTGAGCTATTCTTTTGTTGCTGATATTACAGCTTATGACATTGATATTGACCTTTTAAACTTTTTCCTACCTTTTAACAACTTTAACATCCTACTTACCTTAGTGACGTATTTTGCATTGCAAAAGCATCCATTCATTCTTCCCATGCAGAACTCCTCTGAGCTGAGGTGCTGCTTTACCCCATCTAGTGACACTTCCAAATGTTTGTGCACCATGCAGTCCACCACAGTTCTAATTTATTTCTTACAAATACAGGTCTTGCCTTTGCTATGGAGTTTGAGCTCATATAAATTCATTTTTAAGAACTCCAGTTTGAAATCTCAGATACTATATATATTTCAGTGTCTTCTGGATACAGAGCACTTTGGATCCTCAGTCATACCTACCACACTAGATGTCTGAAATCTACCTTTCTTAAAATTCATCAACCTCTGAGCCGGGTGATTATGTAGTGTTTGTTTGGTGAACTTAAACTGCTTTTGCAGGGTGTTAATCACATCATTGTGAAACGTTCTACATGCAGTAGTCTTTCTCTCTCCCTCAGTTGTTTATTCCCATATCTCAATCGTGCACTTTGGACCACAGCACCATAAAATAGCATTACCTTCAGCCTTGAATGGATTCAATCACTGAATTCATCCTTTTCTTATGTGAAGTCTAGCTTTCCTCAGCTCTCTAAAGTGTAAAGAAAAAAGTCAGGAGTTTCAAAAGCATTACTGTCATAAGCTGCATTTTTGGTGTTATCCACTATTGCAGATAAGAGTTGAAATACCTTTTAAATACCTGAAGAGATGGGTATTTTTTTCAACTTGCCATTGACCCGTGCTTACTTCAATAAAGCATCTAACCTTTACCTTATTTCACCTATTAAGTGCTTGAATATATATATATATATATAAAAAAAAAAAAAAGAGAGAGAGAGAGGAAAAAAGCACTTTAATTAGGGCTGTACTTTTATTTCCACTCAGGTATTTTGGGCCCTCTGAGTAGCGTGTTAAGTCTTGATGACTGTTCATGATCTCTTAAGCAATGTCTCTAAGATCTCAAGACAATCACAACTCTGGACTTTGAGACTTAACCAAACCCACCCAAGCTGAAGGCAGAAGGTTTTATTGCCAATTCAAATTATTTTTCTGCTCCTATAATTCATAAATTGCTACATATCAGTATAAACAACTACTGGTATTTGTTCATGAAATATAGGTGTCTCTAAATTTAATATGTATTTGTACAAAAAAAAAATATTTCTATTTGTATGTGGATTTTAGGATAATGTTCTTGCTACTCTTCTTTTAAATTATTTATTAATTGTTTAGACAAGTAGTCTCATCTTTTCTTTATTCCCACAGAGGTAAGATAAGGGATGCACAAAATGCATTTGACAATAACTAGTATTTATTTTGGCCTAAATGAATGTGCATGTTGCCATTTATCCTTCTATAGGCATTACAAATTTAAATAATGATGTATGATAACAGTTTTAAAAGGACACTGTCATCTTAAAGAAATGAAGCCAATTGCAGACTGCTGTAAATGACTTAGCAGAGTTGAAGACAAGGCATCTATTATTACAGTCTTCTCTGGACTTCAAGAAGTAAATTCTCAACACTAAGTTAAAAAGACATTGAAAAGCATTTTAGGAATTGTTATTCGTAGTATTTATACTTAAATATAACTTCAGTATCATTTTTAAATGTCCATGAAACAGAAATATGTACTTGAAGCAAAAGAGAATATTTGTTCTCAGTCTTAAAATCATACACACACACACATATAATATCTCTGTGCAACATTAATTTAATCTCACCTTTTCCCTCCCTAGCTTCTCATGTCAAAGTCTAATTAATTCCTCCTGGTTCTTTATCCAGATTGTGTCTCACCTATACCCATGTACTTCCATTGTTCTCAGTAAAGATATCCTGGATTTACTTATGGGCATATGTAACAGAGACCTGAATAAAGGCCACTGCTTCCAGAATGAATCCTTTCCAATACTGTTGGCACTCTTGTCCACCCTTGGCCATCTCTCACTATGCATAACCATTTGACTCAAGTTCACTTTTTTTTTTTTTTTTTTGTGATGAAGAACACTCTTCTAGTCCTATTGCTTTATCAGCCCTTTAGTGAGCAACCTGTTGCTCTGTTTTCTCTTCCTTAATCACCACAATAAGTAATTTTCTTATGATCTGCATGCAGTTTTGCTGCATCTGATTTCCTCTTTTCATAAGTCAAAAAAAAAAAAAATCCTAAATGGAACAATTTCCTTAAGGCAGTCTTTCCAAAAATCACCTCCTAGTGCTGGAACTACTTTCTCAACATTGTAATTGGCCTTTTAATATCGCAATATTCCTCATATCTTTTACTGCACATTTATTAATTTATTACCAGTTTATTCAATTTCTTCTCCTTTTATATATTTATTTATTTTTATTTTTTAATACAGCTTGAAACATAACAGGGTATTTTCAACATGCCAGCTTCTAATTAGACATCATATGGTGATAATCATTCTCCCTGAACTTTTTATTTACTGATACTTGCTGTCCTATGTCTAAAAGCTTGTAAGTGCCTGAGGGTAGAAACCTGTTTTATATTTCAGCCACACATTATTTACACAAGTTATTATTGTTAATTATTTACATTGTCTTCCAATTTCTTATGTTTATCTTCCCATCCATCTAATATTCTGTTGCTGTGTTCATTTTCCTCATCAGTCCCTTTGACTGTGACAACTTAAACCCTTGCTTCAACTTTGAATCTTTTTCCTTATCCTATCTTATTGTCACAACAATAAAAACTCTTTTCACTGACAAGGTTTAGGAGAATCAAAATGCAATAAAGAAGAACATAAGACTAATAATTTTAGAAAGTAGGATATCTTGATCCTCAAGAGCTGCTTTGTTTCTTGGTAACTGGTAACAGGAATTAAGGAGACACGGCAAATCACTCAGAGCATAATAATATCAATGATAATGAATGGTTTGTATAATCCCTCAGAAAAAAAAGAGAATGTTATCAAAACATGATAATCTTTTTTTTTTTTTTTCTTTTTGGTGATTTTTTTCTGTAATTATTTTTTTCATGGCACTATTCATGTCATGCTTGCAAAGGCCTAATAGGAAAAAAACACCCAAATGCTAATTCAGAAAAATATATTTTAAACAGCTACTCCTGAAAAGTCTTGAGAAGGGGGAGCTGCAGAAGAAGATCCATTTCAAAATGAAGCCTAATCTATCTGTGTGTGTTTAAATAAACATTAAGGAAAGAGAAAGAGAGAACATTCTACAGAGTGGAAAAAATACTGTGCTTTGAATTTTTATCATATTACTTTACAATGAGCCAGAAAAGACTCATATTCTTGCATTTTTGTTAATATTTAACTGCCTTTTCTGCAATGCAATGCACATCATAAAGCACCAGAACAATTTTAAATAACAATGAAATTCTGTGTGTACTGTATGTCGTACCACAGGACACAAATATGATATGACATACTACATTAACCTGCCAAGATACCATAATAACTATTACTATTTGTTTTCAACTTTTGATTTAAAAACCACAAAGAGTTACAATTCAAATCCTAACTGAGTAAAAAATTACTTTTATATCAGTGCTATCTCTAGGGATATGCTTAGAATTGAAACACTTGTTTTTGAACACTTTGACATTAGTTCTCATTGAAATGAGCATGAGAATTGTTCATCAAAAGCAGAGAGGGGGAAAAAACACACACACACACACAACAGATTAGCATTTTAAACCTATCCCACTAGGACCTTGACTTAAAATTGAGGTAATTTCATAGCCAGCTAGTATTTAACTCCTTGTAGATCCTAAATGTTAGTTTTCATACAGCTCAGAGGGGAAAAAATAATATAAATATATATATATATTTCTAATGACCTGAATTTTAGGTGGAAAGGTTGTTACTTTTATAAAACAATACATTTTTCCATTTTTTTCTGATATTTTAATTTACCTATGCAAGAAAGTGATTTTGACAAGCTTTAGAATTTTATTACATTGCTATGCTACTGTAGTTTCTTCTGCTCTCTCTGTCCTTTCAGAATCTTTTCTGTTCTCCCCTCCTAGCTTTCTTTTTTCAATTCCATCCTTTACTATTTCCTTATTTTCTCTCTCTTATCTCTTTTTCATATTTTTATAATTACAAGTAAAAGTCCTATAAAACTTAAGAAGGCTTCAGATAGATCATTACTAATGTAATTACAGTATGGAGAGCATAGTGATTTTTGAATGTAAATTAGAGTGAGTTTTTACAGTTCATTAGAAAGTCTTGGGGATTGAATTTAGTTTAATCAAAGCTTGAGTGCTCCCAGTATACACAGCACATACCTAGTGGAAAAAAAAAAAAAAAAGCATTAATATAGAATCAGAGATTAAAGATGTATGTCATGCTTTGCATCCATTTAAAAGAATCCATGCAGGGTGCATCACAGACACTAGTACCTGATGGCCTAATGGAGTTGAATGAAGAAAACTTGCATGCAATTCATTAATTTACAAATGAATATACATTACTTCACTTTTCTGCCTTCTTTCTGCAACCATTCATCCCATAGGCAAATACATACTGTGGGAGGTGCTTGTCCCCAGTCCTGCTGTTTTTTGCCTTTTCCCAGGGGCCAGAATCCCACCACAGATGGTGACAAGACCTCAGTGTCTGCTCCTGCATCATCTTCTACTTCATCCAACCTAAGGTCATTTCAAATACATTTAGCAGTTTACCTGGCAGGGGTGAGTCCCATTGCTGGTTCTCTCCTGATTTATTTTCCCACAGCGAGTATTGGCACTATTTCTGGACTTCATCTCAACACTGAAACTATCAAGAGTGACTCTCAAAATAAGAGCTCCTGTGAGACTAGCTCCTTGCACTCCTGTGTTAACAGTATGTAGGAAATGCATTTCTCACCTACTCACTGAAAAGGCATATATCTTCCAGATAATCAACCAAAATACTGAATGTGATTCATCTCAGAAAACATCTTGAAGGAAATTTCCTAGGATCTCTCCTTGGCTGCTGATTTCCCACTTAGATTTAATTTTTCAACATCTTAGACTTACATTTCAAATCTTAGATTTACATTTCAACATCCGGTGTATTTGCTATGACCTATCCATACAAATTGTTATGATGCCACATTGCTTATTTCTTTATTTGCCATTGATGAAAAAGCCAGTGTATAGCTACCCACATTTTCCAGCATAGCCTTTTAAGATTTTAACATGCATTTATTTCATAAAATATTTAATATTTCTGAAAAACAACATTAATCATTAAGGTAAAATTTAATACAGCCTATGAGTAGCTCTGTGTTATCTCTGAAGGACAACTCAGATACCGCCAGGATAACTAGTTTTTGTTAGATGGTTAAGAAATCAAAGAGCTCTAAGATACAATAAAAGAAGTTCCTGCAGAGCATGCAGTGCCTCAGCATGCAGGTCTTTGCTCAGGCAGGTCCATAGGCTGCAGATTCCTCTGGATAGGAAACAAGCAGCTACTGCAAAGATCATTCTCTGAGAAGACTACTCCATAGGATATATAATTCAAGGTATGTATATAAGTGTACCTGCATGCTTTGCAAAAACTTACTGAAGTGTTTGCAACTGGAGGTGGAAAAGTACAAGCTGCAGAATTGTTGTTACTGCAGGTTGGCAGTAAGAAGACACAAGTCCCTGAGTGCCTGTGGGCAATACTGTCCTACGTACCTTACCAAAGAGTGGCTTCAAGCTGTGAACAGGCTGTAGGTGCAGCAAGAGGATGGCAGCAGTGCACCAGGCTGGAGCAGGATCCAGAACCATGATGGCTTCCAAGGCACTCAGCCGGTTGGGCAGCTGCCTGTTGGTGTTAATCAGTTTGTAATCCACACAGCCACACTCAAAGTGGATGGGGCCTCACTTCTTAAAAAGCCCTTGTGTGAGTTTGCGTGTTAAATACTCACTGCCCTAAAAATAGGAGTTGGTAATTGAAAAGCTGGCAGATCCTTTAATTATAGGGGAGCAAACAATGCCACTAGAGAAATGTAAATACAGCCTAATTGTTACTTCTTTATTTCGTTGTTAAAGAGCCAGCTGACATGATGGCAGGCATGGGATAATGCCTGTGTCTTAAGCAGCAAGATCTGCAATCAAGTTTTTAAAATGTTCCTCGTTTGTCTTTCTTGTGGGACTTTACATGCAAAGTCTTGCCAAATGAATCAAGAAAAAAATAGGGTAGGCGTGAATGCTGGATAAAGAAACTGCAAAAAATACTTGGAAAGTACTATACAGGGCACAGTTTAATTGAATCGTGATTTGTTGGTCTTGTAAACACTCTCCAGAAAGGGACGTCATGCTAATCAAAAGCTGTCCACCTTCACCTTATTTTTAGCAGGCAAACTTTAAATGAGACAATTCAGAATTTCGATTTCTGAGGGATATTGGATCACATTCACCCACAGGGCATTTAAATATAAAAACCTATTTATATGCAAATTCCTTCGTATGTCACATAAAGCAGATTTTTATCAATTGACCATTCTTTTCCATAAGTTATGTTGATAAAACATCTTTAGTAATGATGAAATGAAGGAATGAATAGAGTCAGGGGAGCTTGCTTAGGTAGATCTTAAACTTTCTGGGGGCATTCCTGTGAGTTCCTGAAATGTATAGCAATGGAGTTAAGAAATTTCCTTTCTTAAAAGGACCCAGGAAGAAAAGTCCTCAAAAAGGGCCCTTTTGAACACTTCCATCTTAATTAGATATAACTAGTACTAGGAAAAGGTCAGAATATGTTACTCATAAGTGAAAGAAAATGAGAGCAAGCTTTTGCTACAGAACCAAATCTTCCAAAGTTTGTTTTTGTTTGTTTGTTTGTGTGTTTGTTTTTGTTGTTGATAAAACTCAGGTGAAATCCCTAATATCCATACTTTAGCTTCCCATCTTTTATCACAAGATATCCTTTAAACATCTGTAGAAGAAATCGCTTCATTGTCAGAATGCCTCTGGCTGTAGTGAGGGAACGTATTATTACAGGCTATTCCTTTTGATAGTAGTTTTTATTCAAATATATAATTCGACGTGGAGAGTGGTAGTGGTGGTAGGCGTGCCTTGTTAATTCTACATATTGTGCAACACTGTCGTAGTTTGGGGAGGGTGGAGCAGGAATTCCTCTGCTCAAAGTGGTATCTGGGTGGTCAATGCTGTTGGACTTTCATTCACAGTGAAAGACCTTGGCAGAGCTAGTTGTGGTGCTTTTTGAGAATTTTCCCAGGAGACTTTGAGCACAAAGCACAGAGATGAGCATAAAGCATCATCTACACTGAAATTAACACTTCCAAACACAAAATTCCTCCAGAAATGAATGCCACCATCTGAACTGCAATCCATGCTTAAAGAGCATGCTTTCTCTTAAAGATCAAAAATACAATAATTCTCTTTAAAGAATTTGACTAAAATGATCTGTTTATTATTTCCCTTCAGTCTGGATGGAACAGAACAGTTATTCCACTGTTGCCTTCTGGAGTTGTGCAATAAACTAGCAGGCTGAGATGAAACTACCATAATATGATTAGCCAAAGGACACAGAGCAGCCTAGGTGATTAAGTGAGGGAGTTCAGTGATCACTGATCTCACCCTTATCCCTGAGAGGTTGTATTCATGATGGTTGATTGCTTTGAACATGCTTGTAATGGTGATTTGTTTATTTAAACAAGTTAATTGGTTACAGAGCAGTTCCTTCTTTTCCTGGAAACATGTTAGTGTTTCTTTGGATTGTTTATTCCTCCAAGGCTGAACTCAGGGACAGACTTTTAGAAATATTACAGGTTGTGGTAGGTTTGGAACAGTACACAAAAGTGACCATTTCATACACTATTTATCTTATAAAGATTTTAGTGTACATTATTACAGAAAATGTTATAATTTATTTGAGTACAGATAGCTTTTCAAGTAATAATATTACACAGAGAATAAGGTATGAATTCAAGCATATTTGTCTGAAATAAATGTTCAGATCTCTTTGAGGTTTACATTGCCCTTTGAAGGGGTCTGAGAAAGTAGGCAAGCAACTTCACAAATGGAATCTCGTTAGATAAAAGAGGTATTTGTATTATTAGTATTTGTCCAGAATGCTATTGAGAAAAAAAAAAAAATGAAAAAGGTCTTCACTAATTCTTAATAACAAGTGATGTCACTTTTGAATCTGCAGTGCTTCTACTATTTTATCTTTGTCTTAGTAGATTTGCAGATGACTGCAACACTCAACGACTCTTATTGCCTCCAAATTGTTCCGGTAACATGTCTCTCACTTTAACCTGCTAAGTTGTTCTCAAATACTTGAAGGCTTTTCAACAGACTATAAGCAGGCATCATCAACGACTGGCTGAAACAGTACTTTTTACATTTCAGTGAAGACCGGCTAACCTTATTCCCTGGAAAAAATTATAAAGATTGTTCTGGGTGCTACTGAAGGGCACTTAAAAAACAAAGCTGTTATCAGGCATAGTCAACATGAGTTCATCAAGGGAAAGTCCCGCCTTAGTAATTTGATTTCCTCTGTGATTAAGGTCACCAGCTTGGTGGATGAAAGGGAGACAGAGGACAATATTTCTTTAGGTAATATCTTTAATACTGTCCACCACAGAATCTTTCTGGACAAATTGCCCAGCTGTGAGATAAACAAGTTTCATGCTACACTGGCTGATGAACTGGCTTAACGGCAGAGCTCAAAAGGTTGTAGTAGAAGGGGCTACATCTGGCTTGCAGAGTGGCACTAGCGGTGATCCCCACAGCTTAGTTATAGGGCCAGTGCTGATCAACATTTTTATCAGCAGTGGAGTGCATCCTCAGCGCTCTGTAGGGATGAGAGGCCTTGCAGAGGGATCTACATAGATTGGAGTACTGGGGAAGTATCAATGGTAAGAAGTTCAACAAAGGAAAAAGTCAGGTTTTGCACCTGAGGTGGAGTAATGTCAGACACAGGCACAGACTGGGAGACTGGCTGGGGAGCAACTCAGCAGAAAGGGAGCTGGGGGTGATCAACATGATGCAGCAGTGTGCCCTTGAAGCCAAGAGGGCAAACTGCATTTTGGAGTGTATTAAACACAGCCATCTGGGCAAAAGAGGTAGGTCTCCTGCTACATTTAGTATTGATGCAGCCTCACCTGAATATTGTTTGCAGTTCTGGGCTCCACAATATAAAAACAATGTTAAAGTATTTGAAAGCATCCAGAGGAGGGCAACAAAGCTTGTAAGAGCCCTGGAAGACATGTCCTGTAAGAAGAGGCTGACAATACTTGGTTTATCTCGTTTGGAGAAAAGAGGCTGAGAGACGACCTCCCCTCCCTCTACAGCTTCTTGAGGAGGGGAAATGGAGAGGAAGGCACTGGTCTCTTCACCCCAGTAATTGATGACAGAACACGTAGGACTGACACAAAGCTGTGCCAGGAGAAACCCAGACTAGATATTAAGAAAAATTTCTTTACTGTGAAGTGGTCAAACACTGGAACAAGCTTGCTAGTGAGGTGGTTGATGCCCCATAACTGTTGCTGTTTAACATGCATTTGGATAAATTCTTAATAATATGTTTTAAATTTTGGTTAGCCTTGAAGTGCTCAGACACTTAGACAAGATGATCTTCGTAGGTCCCTTCCAATGGAACTATTCTGTTCTATTACTATTCTTTGATATCTTTTTCTTGTCTTTGAAATTGCATGCATCAATAACAACCATATTCTACTGTATTGTTATGGTAAAGTCAAACAATGTAATTTGTAGAAACATACAGTGCAGTTCATTAAAATGTTGAACTCACTCATTTCACTATATTTAATTTCTGTTAAAGATACAGATCTGCTGAATGATTTAATGAATGCAAACTTTTTGTTTAATTTTCTAGAAATGGTACAGTTTTTATGAATTCATTCACAATTCATTTCATTTCACTACTTCAAATAGAAAAAAGTCATTATTTTCTTACCTTTTTGGCTATTTTTCCTACTATCTTAATATTTTTATTTTATCACTAACGTAGCAGTGCACTATGACCCCCGACAAGCTAAGATTTGTAGCTGTTAGTATAAACACACATTCTAATATGAACTGACATATTTGAATGAAGAATTTTTTTTCCTGACATTCAAGTGAACAGAAAGGTATCTCTTTAACAGAAAAAAATACAACCCTATTTACCCTCATAAATGGTGAGGCCACATTCAAACAAAAGGTACATTTTTTTTTTTTTAATGATTTATCTTCATTAGATAAAAGATCTGCTAAAATTCTTAAAAGATCTGCTTACTATAATCGTGGGAAGTTCAACTGAATTTCATTGTTTCTGATTAAAATATTTATTTTATCAGATATTTTCTAATATACAGAAAGTTTTGAAAGCTTGTGAATAACAACTCGTGTATATATAACAGATTTCCAAAATTCTAATAAATTCAGTATACTTACTCAAAGGTATCATTTGTTAGTATCTATTAAAATCATAACAAAAATGGATTTGGTAAAATAAATGCTACCCTAGTGCATGAAAGAAGAAAACAGTATGAAATAAATAGACATTATTTTCAAAGGCTGATATACCAGAAATAGAAAATCATTTACAGTCAAGCCAAAATACATGTATATACAAATTCTCACAATCTGTAGTTTCATATCAAACAGCAGCATTACAACTGCAAAAGAGGCGATGAACGACAAAAACTTAGTGCTATCACCTTCTTTTAAAAATTCCTTCTTTTTAGGCATTAAATTACAAAGGCTGTCATTTGGAACTACTTTTGCAAAGGTATTCTGAGACATGGCCTGACATTTACAGGTTTTGAAATATCACAGTCCTACAGCTTTCCCTTGTAGATCCATTTTCTTAAAAACTATAAAAAACAGAAAGAAAATTCTGATCTTAACTATACCGATTTGCCTCTGGAGTGGTTTATGTAAGCAAACTGTTACTCTGTGTTTTTCTGGAAGGAACCAGAGCCAGAGGTGCCCCAATCTTCACTTAAAGTAGGCATTTATATTTCAGAATTATCATTACTGTATTAGCCATATGCACTCTTTTAATGATCAGACGTGTTAAGGATAAAAGCTTATCTCCTATTCTCAGATGTAATTACAACATAACCCTGATCTCTATTAAGTCTATAAACAGAATACTTGTTTTAATTCTTGACCTTTGTGATCCAAACTAAAATCAGAAATTAAATGAAGTAAAAAAATACATCTGTAACCCAATATAATACGAACTAGAACACAGAGAGCATCCACAATTATTTTGTATTCAGACTTTGCTTTGTATGGTGTTCAAACACTAATCCTTCCATTTACTTTAAAAGATTAATGTAACAAAAGGGTGACTAATTGTAAAAGGGGCACAATAAGGTTCAGGTTGGTGCTCTTTTGTATTAGAGAA